TTCAAATCCCGTTGAAACCCTGATTTTTTCAGGCTTCTTCTTTCCAATTCCTTAAATTGGAAAATTAACTGCGATGATCAGTCTTCACTTTCTTTAATATTAACTATAGGCGTATAAGCAAGCAATGACATAACAAGATGTATCGAGCTAGTAGAGAGGCTATGAATGAGGTTAAAGCCCACTGGCACAGGAGCCCATGACTGTAAGAAATACTGATGCAAAACGCAACAGAAAGAGAATACACAAGGAGCTACAAGGAGATGTGACACCGTTTAAAACGGTCATGACGTAATCCTAGTCCGAGACGTTAACACGAGGAAAGTACCGCTTCTATCTGATCACCAAAGCTAACTTAGCTAAGCCAGTACCGGACGAGTGATCAAGTAATAAATCTCTGTACTGCGTGTTCTCATTTTCTTTCCTATTCTTCTAAGCGTAAAACCAGGACGCACAAGCTAATTATCAACTTCCTTTTATTAAAACGAAAATCAAATTAAACTGCTTTTTCTGCCAATGAAGATTGCATATCAAAAACGTGACATTCCCCACGCTATATGCGTTACGTTATGCGTTATTATTATTACTCAGGTTTCAAAACTCAAGTGGTCGAGTGCAAACATGCAAGAAAAATTTCTATTGTTCAGACGTACTAGTCCTTAAAACTCAGAAATAATACATTAAAGTTTTCCTTTTTCCGTTTCTCTGTTGCATTTCCCCATTCTTACTATTCAGACGTATTTTAAATTTAAACTACTCACTCTGTGAGGAAATCGTGACCTTCGCGTCGAATATAATGACTTGAACACTTCGCTACCACTGTGAAAACAACAAGCTTTATTACCAGATTAAAAGTTTACTTTTGCATTGGTCAGCGGATTTACAAAAAGTCTAACAGGACGCGAAGAAGCGAAGGAGCGAAGGGGCGAAGGAGGGATCGAGTCGGAACTTGGATTGGATTTTCCGATTTAAAAATGATTAACTGAACGGCATTTGACAGTGGAATTTAGCCACGTCAATAAAACGTCCTTCTACAGCAATCACAAGAGATGTGCTCGCCCAAAGAGTGATGGCCACTGAGTTTACTATCGCTACCAGGATATGTCTCCTCCATCTTTTGCGCCATACAGCTATTACAGGGATATTAAGGTAACGGGTTTCAATCGCGAACGATAGGCTTGTAAAAAACCACTCAATAGCCAAGGGAACTAAGGTGGTGGCGGCAAAAGAGAGCAGCAGCTCTAAAGGAGAATTGTTCTCCGTGTAATAGTATTGGTACAAGTACAAGAAGCCGTTTGCAGAGATGACAGCACTTGCTTCGTACACCACGCTCATAATGGCGATATCTGCTGCAAGCCGCTCACGACGAGGAGTACGAAAACCTCCCCAGGCAACTAGTCTTCTCTCCCAGACCTGATTATAAATGTGATCAATCAAAGCTATTGTGCTGCGTTCTACGACTTCAGCAATGCCATGGATTACGCCAATCAACGCAACGGATTCCAATCTGCTTAAATCCACTTGTAAAAGCCTTAACAATACCGCTGACCCACAATACAGCGGAGACAACAGTACGAATGAAGTTCCAGGATGGCTTATCTTCCATAACCGCTGGACACAAGTACGTGAGATGCCTTTGAGAAGCACGACAATCAGAGGTGAAAATAGCGCGATTAATAATCTGCCAGTTTTGTCTTGTTTGTTGTAAAATGGGTAAATGCCAAAGGGTACGAAAAGAGAAAGAACAAATGTTAACATGCACGGAATTGCAAAAAGTACGAACAACTTGAACAGTTTTCTACTGGGGCCGTTAACAAAATGCTTGGAAAAGTTGTACGCTTGTAAACAGACACACGACAAAAACAAAACGTTTAAGGGAAGGGTTTGTGTAGCTGACAACTTGGAATGTGAGATTCCAAGGGCTTGAGTGGCGATTCGATAGCCCGCATCCAAGCAGAAGAAAGGTAGACATAGCAGAAACGTTTTAAGTTTTAGACCCCATATTTGAAACGGCCGAAAAAAGAACAATGAGTTAAGGAAAAACCAGCAGTACATCACAAAGGCAGAGACAGTTTCTGTAATAGTGCTAATCCATTGAAGCTTTATTGGGATCGATTCCTTGGGTTTACCTTCACAACTTAGCCTTGTCTGATAGCAGAGGTAGAAGAGGAGAATAGAGACTATTCCAACAACTGCGGCAGTCAAAACGGACATCACAAATCCAAACAGCAATGAATTCCAAACTGTGCGCCACATCGGTGGTCTAAGCCGCTTCCAAGCCATTGCTCTATCTTCTGGTGGTTCCTGTGTTGTTTCGTTGTCTTCTGTCGAACTTGCGTCTACAAACCTGGCGCCGATATTGCTAGACGCGAGATAATCGAGTGATGTTGCTTCCTTGTTGCTGTATTCTTGGTAAATAACCTCATCCACAGGCTGGCAATACCACTCAGTCCCTTTGTCATCAAGAGGATTGTAGCCAAACAGATCTGAGGTATGTTCCGCTTCATCAAAGTTGTAGTGTTCGGCCACACTTCGCGTAAAGCTGAAAATGATATGGCCACAGACTTCTGCGAAAGCGGTGCTCCCAACCATTATGTGTTTGTTTTCGAAAGACCGATATAAGATCCAGTGGAATTCCTGTTACGTATCTCTGCTGTCGCGCAAACTGGGAGGGATTGCGAGTAAAGTGAAATAAAGTCCTAGCTCTTATTCTGTTGTAGCTGATGCGTTCTATGAGCGTGGTGCTAGCAATGGAAACGAAACTGTATAAGAATGTGTCAGCCATCATCTGAATGCCGTGGGAGAAAACCCTTACAATTACCAAACTTCGCCTTCAGTTGACTTAAACGTTTTTTGATACCCTAGCGCACAAGGGAAGCAAGTTTGGCCCAGAAAAAATTTAAAACACTACAGAGTTGCTGAGGTTATTCACGTATTTTTGACGCTATGCCACATTTCGCTATCTAATAAACTGAAATCATTTATAACCTTAAGTAGTCCTGTTTGTATTATAATTTTGCAGAATCAGTTCTACCAAACGTGAAAACGTCTGATATTCGACCGTATTCCATTCTTATGCCGAAGCTCTGCTTACAGTTAAAACTTTATTCCTAACCCGTTTCCAAACCCCAAATAATAGGTTCTAACTCACTACTCAAAGCGCCTTACTCCTAAGCTACAGTCGGTAAGGAGAATAAGTACTAGTCGACAACGAAATCAACTGAACAAGTGGTTTTTGTTACCAATGTTGCTTTATAGATCAATATAACGCAACATGACGCATGCTATGTTGTGTTATGATGAAGAGGCAACTGCCGGAGTACTTGCACTAGCTTTTGATTGGATAATAAGAATTGGGAACTCTTTGAATGCTTAGAATTCAAAGCTTCATTACTATGGTGACACCATCTGCGAATGGAAGCAGACACATCACTACACGAGGATCATCATGAACTTTCACGTTCAAGTCATGAGGTACTTCCACTTTTTTTTCTGCAGCTCTCTCTCCAGGATCACAAACTCTGCCATTACACAATACCTATGAAGAGAAATGCGTGAACTGTTGCATATTGATGGCCCACTACTTCAGTAAAACAAGTTTACATCAATTTGTTCAGACAGACTTCACGCGCGGTCCTGGGTGGGTTTAGAATATATCAACTTTAGAACTTGAAAATATTTCTTTGTTTCGTAGTTCTGAAGTAGAGCTAACATTCAAAAAGTCAGTTTGGCAAGCTTGCTTGTTTTCCACTGATATTTGTTTTTATAAGCATGCATCATTCGGGGGGAGGTGGGATACTCTATAAATATGGGCATGTGCCACTGTGAAAGGTATGGTTTTCAGGCAGTTTAGTCTGGAATTAGGGATGGAAATCAGACAGTTTTGGTCTAAAATAGGGTAGGGGTTGTTGCTGCCTAGTTTAGAATAGGGTTACAAAATCAAGCTGATCATGGTCTAGAATAGGGTAAGGGTTTCAGTCTCTCAGCGGCACACCCCTACCCAATGATTTAGAGTACCACTCCCCCTCCGGGCATCTTTACTCACGTTATCAATTACAATCAGCCCGCCTTTACGAATAAGCTGTAACGATTTCTCATAGTATTGGACTTTTGAAGTCCAATCAGCATCGATAAAAACCAGATCAAAGCTTCCAGCTTCACCTGCAGCTATGAGATCATCTGAAATAAGACGACAACATAACGTTTAAATTTGCAATAGTCCAACATTCGACGTTTAAAGAGGTTAAGAATGCAGGTCGACCAGGAACTTCGCTCAAGGATTACCTGCAAGCTACGAAACCTAAAGAAAGGTAAAACGATTTAAAAACGACCTCTCGAACTCATTCATAATTCATCATTAGTTTACACAAAGGAAATCATGGCCGTGACTGTATTCTGATGCATAGATATTTACAATTGTGTTTCTCGGTTTTCTCCTAAGTTTAAGTTTGGATTGAGAAAAAACATCAAACACTTAAGACAGTGTTACATTATGTGACGAATTCCTCTCGCCTTTTGATTGGTTCTCACTTATGATCTATAGGACGACAGACGCATAGATGGTGTAATTATAATCAATCAGACACACACTCGCCTAACGGCTCGTGTGCCACTTTCTTGTTCTTACCACATTTTGACGTCAACTGTGATCTATTATTGAACAGACACAAGGCAATATGGAATCTATTTACTATTTTGATAACAATTCCAAACACTTCGAAGTTAGTTAAAAATACTCCGTTGCGCAGTGCATTTTCAACTCTCTTCTCGGTATGTGGAAATGTGGTCCAACACGGTCTTTTGTGTTTGATGAGTTACTTGAATCGAGAAAACCTACTTGATGTCAAGAGAAGAGAAAACCCTGGGAAGTAATCCCTTATATGGGTTATATAGGTATGTGCGGCCACAAACGATATGGATTTTCAACCGTTTTGGTAATAAATAGGGTATCGGTTTTAGCCATTTTGATCATTAATAGGGTCTGAGTTTTGCACTCTTGTCTTGAATTGGGCATTTTTTTTTAGGACAAGCTACTTTTTTATCATTATTGATAAGACCGATCAGCAAAAGCGCTTCACAAATTACGTGTTCGGCAATTTAACATTTATCTGAACTAGGGAATTAAGTATAAGGCAGGTCTGAAACAGGGTATTGATTTAGGGTCAGGTCATAAATAGGGTATTGAAAATCGCAGATTTTGGTCATTATTAGGGTAAGGTTTTTGGGAAACGGTCTGCACACCCCCACCCAATTTTTATCAGAGTATCCCACCGGAGAAAAAAGTTCTCCCAGGTCAGTCCGAACAAAGCCTGGCTGCATAAAGACTCGTCAAGTAGAGCGAAGTTGAACTGCTACCTGCTTTCAAAATTTCTAATTAATTTTACGTATAGTTATCTTTTACAGCACGTGTGTAACTGTGAATAAAATTTGATGAAAACTTATGTTGTCACAAAATACCAGTTCTGATCTTACCTAGAGTTGTGAGGGCAGATTGTAACCTTAAATCAATCTTTGACTCAACATCTGCCTGGAAAACAAAAAAGGGCACTAACGTCAAATTTACAGTGTTCAAAATTTAACGAAATACTGGATGAGGTCAAGCATGATTTGATAGTCCGTTTTTTTTAACCTTACTTGTGAACACTTGCAAGTACCCTACAGTACTGGCTAAGAGGTAAGTCTACATATGAGCCAAGAGGCCCATCAGGCACCTGGGTAGAGAGAGGCATTGTGATAGTTAAGAGTCTTGCCCAAGAAGACAACACAATGCCCCATGCCTGGGCTTGAACCCAGACCTTTAGATCCAGAGTCGAGCACACTAACCATGAGGCCACTGTGCCGACAGACTACTGTTGCAATCAATCTGACCAGATCTTTCTCAGTGGTTCTGTGCTTCACTGCAGGGGCGTAGCAGGGGGTCACACTGTGTCAAAGTGAGGGTACTCACCAGACTGTCATGTCATTTTCACCACCTGTTGCAGGTTGTTTGCTTTAAAAAAGGCTTACAAAATGGGGGAGGGGGGGGGTCATGGGCACCCCAGGACCCCCTAGCCACGCCCCTGCACTGATGGTATTACCAGTGCATGACTCCTGAGTTCAATGCTCTCAATTTCATGATGGTACATTTAAATTTCCACACACAATAAAAAATTAAATGTTGAGGGCTCTGTCATGCATCCAATATACTGTGACCTTCAGGAGTACTTTAATGCAAGTAAAACGTATCAAGGGTTTGCAACATGCATGAGGGCTACAACTATGCAGCCCTATGCATGCTTTGAATGCTAAACACAGTCGCAGCCACAATTTTGCAGTATCACATCAGTGTGAAACTTGATTGACTTTAAAGGTACTTCACCTTTGACCAAGTGGCACACCTTAACTGCCACTGAGATCCTGAAAAACTGATTCTCTTAGAAAAGCAGTCAAATAACAAATGTTCAAGTTACCTCTTTGAAGTAATGCTGGCTCTGCACCTCACTCATGAACTCATCTGTTATGTCACATGCCACAACTTTACCATCTGGGGGCAGTGCCATGGCCATACTCAGAGTATTGTAGCCAGTATAAATACCTGAATGAAAGCACAATGATAGTGGCAAAGTTATTCAGATAGAAAGAAATCTTATCATGTGCCAACTGAAACATGTACAAGGAAAGCCTGATCCAAGTTAACTCCCACGTAAAGATCGCAAGAAATGTAGTAAGACTACCAATGATTTATTTAAGTGTCCTCCTTCCAGTGAGACCCTACCCAATTTAATCCCCCCCTTTTAAACCTAATAATAGTGTACTTTTTGTATTCGATTGTTGTATTTGTTTCCATGTAAATATCTATCTTATTTAGAGACATATTGTAGCCCATTAACATTGTTATTTTTAAATGTAACATAAGATATGTAATTTTATCTTTTGAACAATAAAGACACTTTATTTATTTATTTAATACCTTTCCAATATCAGGGTACATGACGCGCCAAGGAGGGTACTCCCTTATATGGGCTATAAAGGTATGTGCAGCCCTAAAGGGTACGGTTTTTAATTCATTTTAGTCATAAATAGGGTATTGATTTTGGCTATTTTGGTCATAAACAGGGTAAGGTTTTTGCACACTGTATGTACTCATGTATGTATGTTTGTATGTACTCTAGTCTTGAATTGGGTATGTTTCTTAGAAGAAGCTACTTTTTCATCATTATTACTTAGACCATCAACAAAAGTCCTTTATAACTTATGTTTAGGGCAACTGTGCCAGCTGCAACGGTCATAAAATAATATGGTATCAAATTTTTGGTCAGGTCATAAATAGGGTAGCAAAAATCACAGATTTTGGTCATAAATGGGGTAAAGGTTTTGGGGAGTGGGCTGCACACCCCCAACCAACTTTTCTGAGAGTA